TTAGGCACTGTTGCAAGTACAAACATGAAACCAATGCTATATTGAAGGCATTGGAAATAAGAAATGGCTAAAATGTTCAATGACTATGTATGGTCATAGAACTCATTAAATATGCATATCTATAATATCTCGATCACTATTGAAGTTAGAGATATGAAAATAACGCCACATTGAAGGCATTGTACACAAGAAATGGCTAAAATGTTCAATGACCATATATGGTCATAGAACTCATTAAATATGCATATTACTAATATCTCATGCAATATTGAAAGTACAAACATGGAGACAATGCTATATTGAAGGCATTGAGCAAGCTAAATTGCTAACATGTTCAATGACCATATATGGTCATATAATTCATATAGTGTAATCAGTTCACCATGCTGTGACTAAATCAACATACATTGTGATCAATATGCTACAGTATATAGTAAAATAATCACCGTACATGTCTCCATTACCCTAGATATTACAGAAGTGTAATGTCATAATTCTCTTGCATGAATGCAATTCAGCGCTAACTCAGGCATAGCATCGAAAGCCGGTAATCGCTGCTTGCAGCTATATTTATAAACAAAATTGAGAAACTTGGCGAAAGTTGTTATTCGGCACCCAACAGAGTAATTATAGAAGTACTAATAATGAACACAATGTTGGTAATTAAATGTAATCTATTTTCTGTTATAGAATGTTCCTGAAAGGGTGTTGATGATTTATTACAGATTTGAAGAGCCATTGCTCGAAACTTATAGCTGTTTTTAATAGTTACTTAAGACAATGATTACCAAATATTATCTAGTACTGTAAAACATGTTGAAAAAGCGGCATGCAATTTTAGCGAATTGTGGCAAAATGACGTAATAGCGAAATGTTGATTTAATATGCCTCACCCTTCACTAACATTACGGTACCGTCAAGACAAAAATCACTACATATCATCTCTAAACATGATTTAAAAGCTCACATTAATCATTTTTTCATCAGCTTTTGCAATATTTAAATCATGTGGACACTGACTCTTCCTGTAACCTGCCTACAGATATTTATTTAGTATCTGAGTAAAGACTGGTACCGGTAATCGCATATTTACTTACGGTTTCAACAATAAGATCATCTCTATGCGGTAATAGCGGTGGCGGGGACAGATATGCATCAGGTATAATCACATGTAAAGCCTGAAATATAAAAATAATGTTAACATTCATGAATAATTAGCTAAAATATATAAAATATATAGATCCAATAACTGTATGAAAATAATAGGAATTAGTGGTAAGGTACAGTAAAAGAAACACAACTCATTCTAGCGGTCCTACTAATTAATGTGTGGACACACGTGGGGACGAACAAAAGGGAATAAGTGACACATGGGTCAAAACTTGTACTGTATAATGTTAGTTTATTCTTTAAATTTAAAACATTCATGAATTCTAGTAGCCATCCCCACATTTTATGATTCCCTCTTGTTCGTCCCTGTGAGTTAATTAGCATGACACCATTCTAGGCTATCACATGTATCTTAAATACAGTCTGGTTTACTCACCTTCAGCTCTTTGATTAGTTTGTTTGCTTGTGAGAAATTCATGGTTGGATCTATAGGACAGTAACATGATTTCATTGACAGCGGTTGGAATGGAGCCAAGGCATCAAGATAATTAAAACTAGGTTCTGTGAAGGTATAATTTTCAAAAATTTATGGCAGTTGTAAATTACTTTGTCTATAAAGAGGTAAATAAAATTTGCTCTCAAGCTAAAACAATGGACATTATATACGCAGGCGTAGGTTGTGATGGCCTCAAATCGGAGCACGCGTAACCATGCAAAAACATGACTATTTAAAAACGCCTCTACAATGTAAATGCACACTGACACTTATATTTGCGAGGGAATATCACTAAAATCTGAACTTTATGAATGATGTGATACAGTTCAATAAAAGACATTCACTGAGGAGATTCACAACATAAAATAAGACATGAAGATTGAAAAAGAATGTTTTTTGCGAGATTAAGTTTAAATTCAAGTGCCCCTCTAATGACACTATGGCATTTATATTGTTAGCATGTAGCAAGTGCAAAATCCCTCACGGGCAGTGAAGTAAACAAAGTTAACCACAATGTAGGTTGTGTACCTATCTAGTTTTAAAGGAATTTATAACAATAAAGCTATATGCATCAAAAATATACATGCCCCTACTGTTCTTATCTTTTGTTATTCATCGCTGCACGCCACTATTTTTGATTTGTTTTCCACTTGATGTGAGCAAACAACATAAATGGCAAAATGTCTGTTGTGGTAATATTAAAATCAGTTTATATATGTTGTACAGTGAGAAGATGCTTATGGGAGTCAAAATTAATAAGCATTGAATTGCATGACCAAAATGATTACTGGTGGCCATATTTAATCAGATCATTAATTTTCATTTAACATACATTTTTACACTCTGGTTGACTTCCCCTATTCTCCTTTATCATGGAGCTAACTAATAGCACCCTCTTAGTTTAGTTTCATGGTTATTTTGTTTTTATTAATTTCCCACAATTTCTAGCATTCCTTTCATGAAAAATACAAGTTTGTTAAATTTAGACCCTATACCTGTATTGCGATTTGTCACCTATATGTGCTGCAATTGTGCTGCTCTCTATAAATTTATGATCTATGTACTGCCCTCTATAGTTTGATTTTGTCTGTACTGCATGCTATCCTCGGGCGGGGCTACGTCACAATACGCTCCACGTTGCGAAGACCCGCACCCCTGTACCATGTATTTCTATGGGCTCTGTGCAAGCTGATGTAGAACGCCGGTTGAAGAGCCGATGAAAACAGCTAAAGTCGGGAAAACAGCACGAACTCAACTTTGAATTAATCCCAAACAACCAAACCTATATACGTTACACATGCAGGGTTAATCTTGTTACATTGTTCAGAGGAGTCTCAACAACTATCCCAAAATATTGCTTTCTGAAAGTTTTGGCCTTTTTTTTTTTGTGATCGTTGCCATGTGGTGAAAATGAGCAGTTGGCCGCCCCGAGGATAGCATTATTTGACATCAAAATTTTCAACAGTGCCGCCCTCTAAAGTTAGTTTTCTAGTGAGTTTGACTTTACCTGTAAATATAACCGTGTTCATGCTTGACTTTCCCCAAAGTTCCATGAAATGTACAGCATCACCAAATCGTAGTGATGGATGACCTGTGAAGACTACACAGGGGGTCTTGAACTGATTAGTGAATTCACCTATGATAAACAAAAATGTTTTTTTTTGGTGGTTATTGAAAAAAAACGTGAAAAGATAGATAATTACTTAGTCTTGTGTGTTGTCTACTGAATTGTTAACATGACTAGGGGGAAATTGGTTAAAAAAAATATTCTTGACAAAAGTATGAATTGGCTAATGAAAAACATCTGATTTTTACAGATTTGTATTGAAAAAGGATTATCCCATGTACATAGTTTGGTTGTCACTCCACTGATAATTTGCTGAAAACCCAAAGTCAACTTTTGTTATTATTAACAAATTTTCAATGTTCATTTTCATCAAGACTTGTAGCCAATTAGAAATTATCAAAAAAAATATAAAAAAAATACACAAAAAAAAAGAGAAAAATTCCTGAAAAAATTATGGCAGTCCAAAGGTTTAGAACATATATACATTATTTTGTTTCTATAATATTAAAACTGACTTCATCACTCAGCTCAACAGATAGCCAACACAATTGATTAACAAATTTTTCAAATTTTAAAATGTTCCCCGACTATGAATAAAACAAATTGAAAAAATATTAAATACAGTCCACAAGATAATTCATACCATGTATTGAAGGAAAGTGTTTTAGACGACCACCTTTGACAAGTTCACCATGAGGGAACGGTGGTTCAGGTAGATACACTTTAGACTGCTTGGCAGGACACAGCCTGTAAGAGACAAAATAAATTATAATTTTATCAACACATGCTTACATTATCATATTAAAAGCTACTGTAGCTGTGGTTTGTGATTTGATTTGAATTATACAATTATGTAGTTATACAGTGAATAAAGACATGAACGCTGTTTAATAAAATACTTATAATTAATGCTTCATTAATTTCAAATGACAGTTGAAAAAAAATTAACTAATCAACATGTGTAAACAGATGAATGATCGTTAATCCATCCATTATTGAAAGAAACACGCAAAGATTCATGGGATTTTTGACTGATTGGCAATCGTCTACAAGGAGAAATATTTTATAAATTTACATAAAACCAATCATGCTTTCATGAAATTTTCTGTATCACAGACTGTTTTATAGCATTTCACACACAAATGAATTTGAACAAATTTGAAAATATTATTTGTATAATGACCACCCAAGGTACTTCATTAAAATGGTCTTTATAGACAGGTGGTCTTCACCAGAGTCAGGAAGTTGGATTATTTTCACATAGGTCACTAACAGATACATTTGACATAAAACTTGATCAGAAAATAATGACTTGGCTCATTTGGAACAAAAACACAAAATCAAATTGACTTGAGAAAATTAAAAATTATATTAGAAACAGAATGCATATTATTATTTTGGTCTCTAAACAGTAGGTGGTCTTTATACACAGTTTGCTTATATGTTATGCCTTGGGACTGCCTAAAAGTGGTCACTATAGACAGGTGGTCTTTATATAATGAGGTGGTCACTAACACAGTTTTGACTACATAATAAAAACATAGATATATGTGTACGTATGGTACTTCTAAACACACTGAAGATTTTATTATTTCATTAAAAAAATTACAGATTAGCAAAATTAGCTAAAATAACATGCCAGCAAAAAAGACATGTTTTGCAGTGAATTATCTTTATCAAGATGTAATTTCCATCAAAATTAATTATTAACATGCTCAGTACACAGTGCCAATTGACTTACCATTCAGCAAATATCTGAGAATACGCCAATGAACTATCAGCAACATGTGATATAAAGTACAGAGGAATCTGTGTAAGGCCTGCACTGTCCATGAATGCTGACAGACATTCAAACAGATCATAGATAACACCGGATGGACAGCATGGAACTAAAACATTGCCACCATTCTTGATTGTTACAGCTGTGAAATACATTGTCAGAGAAGTGAAACAAATGTGGATACACAACTGGTATGATATGCAGTGGAAGGTCCCACGAAACCAGAATGTGCTAGAAATACGTTTGTTTGACATGCGCATGGAGCTAACATGATGGAATCTTTGTCACATATCACCATGAAACTTGCATACCCTTACCTAAAAAATTACTTTAATTTCGCAACAACAAAAATTTGACGAATTTTGAAAATGAAATTGCAAACAAACTGTAGCAGTGACAATTTTTCTGGTGTCCTGCAACATGAATTCTCAGTGACTTTGGTGAAATTAAGTCTTTACAAATGACACACAATCCTGAAATCGCAAACAAATTCCAGCAGTTTACGGAATTGGCTCAAGCAATGGTGTAAAGATACAGATGACACAATCAACTCACTCACCCAGATTACTACAGAATTCACCCAGCATATTGTCAGGATTAAAGGTTGGTGTTTGATTTAATCCAGTCAATATCAGTACATCACTGTTCTTCATCGGCCCTGTAACCATTGGTAACGGGTGTGTTGTTAACAATGAAGATCCAGATATGTATGTCACCTATCATGAATAAATGAACTTAACAATATCAGAAAATAATTTTAGATTACTTAAAATTTTGACTTTCAAGTTATGCTAAACAATTGGTGAAACTTAAAAATCTACCAAAGTTGAAACATCAGTGATGTAAAATAACCATAATGAGTTACTTTAAACATATGAACTCACCTTTTCAAAATCAGACTGTATAACCCAATTACAACTGCCAATACAGTAGCCAGAACTCAGGGGTACCATTGACAATGCTCCGTATAAATTCTACAGACACCAAAGTAAAACATTTGAATATCCCAAGATAAATATATACTGAATATTTTGTATTTATTCTTTTATATGAAAATTAAATTTAAATGATCTCTATTAAATAAAACAATCACACCAAAACTATACTTGAAAATGCAATGTGGATGACAAATTCAACATTTCCGCACATATACCTTCTATTTTTAGTTAACAGATTGTCATGTTCATTTAATTTCAGCATAACCCTTTGAGTGCCAGATATTTTTCCCGACCAAAATTCACTGCAAATATTTTGACATTTTGTAAAATAATCAGTAAATTTCATCATCATTTTGGTTAGTACAGTTTCAGATATTGCTTTTGGTTTTCGATCAAAAAGTTCTTCAATTGTTATCAACATTTCATGTGAGGAGGAGAAGACTATACAACATTATTTTGTTGTTGGTGGCAAAAGTAGACAATGGCAATCAAAGAGTTAACTACTTAAATGAGTCAAAACATTTATACAAGACAGGATTTGATTTTTTGAAACAACCTGCAAACAAACAGCTTTCTGATTGGCTTCACTATTAGGCGTTAGGATTGTTAGCCAATCAGGTAAATCTTACTTTGACTTGACTCTAAGACTAATACTTACCAGTTTTTCTGAATATCCAGCTAATTTGACCTTTGACATAGCTGCATTTATATCATGTTTGTTGTAACATTTCCGCCATGATGGTACGTGTAACGATTCACGGAGTGGTGACGGCAAAGTCTTCAATATGTTGGGTTCTTTCCATTTAGTGGCTGGTTGTAACTTAGGCACTCTTTCAATGTATTCTACAAGTTCCTCCATTAATTGTCTACAAAGTAATGTCAAAACTCAATAAATAAACAAGATGGAAAGAACTATCTGTAGGAATAAAATAATTTTGAACTGTTAGAGTTTGCCACAATCAGCATTGTTGCACTATTATTCTGCACTCTAGGCAGTTGCCTTTGAGGCCTCTATGAAGTTCAAGCCCTGTGTTTTGTACGCTATCTACTACTCCACTGGGACCTCAGAGAGATATAGCGAGTTTTGAACACCAATTACTCACAACACATATGCAATTTGATTTCATTTCACAAAATGTGTATCAAATAAAAATAAATTTCTCATCACTGGTGATTCTTACCTTCCAGATTGTACAGTGGGCTCTGTTGCATACACAATACCATGGAAACCGGTATACTATCAAGATAGGAATAGGATAAAGCAAGAGACAATCAAAAGGACAGCAGCTGGAATTTTTTTTTAATTCAAAACAGGTCAACTTTCATTTGTTTCTCATAAAAACAAGTTGAAATGAAGTTGCTGAATAACAAATTTTAGAAAATCAGAGAAAAACAAAAAGTGTAACAAAAATATGAAACCAGGGCTTTCTGTAATAAACAGCATTTCTCTTACTTCAATTAAACTCATTTACTTATTTGAGTTTTGAACAAGAATCAAAAGATTGCTAGATCGTAGTCTAGCCTAGGATTTATGTAGGATTCCATTCACTACACTATATGCCACTCCATTAATGCCTGGCTATGATGCTGCTAGTAATATCTCATTGTCTGAATACATCTAGCCTAGAATCTATGCAGCATTCCATTCACTATATCCCACTCCACTAATGCCTAGCTATGATGCTAGTAATATCCCCTTGTCTGAATACATCTAGCCTAGAATCTATGCAGCGGTCCTTTCACTATATGCCACTCCACAAATGCCTAGCTATTATGCTAGTAATATCTTATTGTCTAAACACATCTAGCCTAGAATCTACCTACCGTACCATAGACAAATAAAATGCATATAAGATGGGTCATCAAAAAATATACCGTGTAATTAATATTTTTACACGTACAAATGTGCAGTCGAAACAATTTTTTAAAATAATCAGTATTCATTTACAGATTCCAACTGAATAAATTTCAATAGAAAATAATGATATACAATTCAGCAACAGTTCATACATCTATACTCATTACACATGTAACTGTTACACTATTTCTAATAGGATATTGGGCAGATCACATGATGTTGTGAACCAATAGGAAATGTTGGCATAAATATAAGTTGACATACCTCTGTTATGAATGGTAAAGCCAACATAGAGTGGTAACTTGACAAAAGAATCACGTCTACAGTTGACAAATCTAGGATTCCTGTCTGAGTAAATAAATCAATAAATCAATCAAATAATCAATAACTAACTTTTTTCAGTTTATGTACACACGTACAGTATATGCAGTAACAAAATAATACCTGTCTGTGTATTCAGTTTTTATCTCTGTGCTTTTTGTACACTATGATTGTACAATTATTCCTCAGTACTGTTTACATATGGCTACATTATGTAACTTGAATTGGCATTGATGGGTATCACAGTCTCAACATGTAATAAGTAAATTATTAGGTGCATGCCGTGCATGTAATCTGATCAGGGGTTGTATATAGCTATGTGCCAAATACATGTATTGGTTGGATTCATGCATACATGTGTAATTTCACGCAGTGTCTGTTCACATTTCAGGTAAAAAAACAATACATTTTACACATATTGGTGCTATAGACCTTGTATCAAACACATTACTGTGCAACGACTGTTGTGCTTCGACATAATGACCCACTGTATGAGGGCAGCATTTTCTCTGTGTAACATGTATAGTCTTTCACATCATAAACTCATTATCTGAACACAACAGTAAAATAATTACCTCTGGGATGCATACTTCAGGACTACTGTCGATAAAAACATGTCCACCACAGTCTTTCAGCTCCTAGCAAAATAAAATGTTCAAATCAGCTAGTTAAGATGCACATTCAATAATATGTACTGATTTATAGCACTATTTCACAGGGAGCTCAAAGAACATATATGATGTCAGTAGGAAGGGAGTACAATGTTTGAATGTGTAACCACAATTTGAATATGGCATAGCACAGTACAAAACCGTGGTGCTATTAAAGAGTCAATTTACTCACATTTCCCACTGGTGATTCTTTGCCTTCACTCAGATGCCAGACTGGTAGTTTACTCAGCCTTTCACTACCGACAGAAGAACAATTATGTAGGAGGTTGTAAAATATAATATAGTTAGAAATTTACATAAATTTGCATAAATTTGCATGAAGCAAATTCATTTTTCCAGTACAGTCTGAAACACCAAAGGCTTATAGTATTATGACCAGTTGTTACAACCTACAATAATGACCTTAACTGAATAATGAACAAGGACAAAACATTGTTGCATCACAGATGTTGTAAGAACAACGATGCACATTCGGGGGCGGGTATTCTGAGCAATGGTCAATGCTTGACAGGTGAATGCAAATTTAAGGTTCCATAAAAAAGTCCCTTAAAAATTAAATTTTGTTAAAGTAGCACATTCTCTAAATTGTTGTACTTAAAACATCCATCAAATTTCAGACACTGTGATATCCTCGGGGGCGGAGCTACGTCACAGACGTTCCACGTTACTAAGACGCACACCACTGTACCATGCATTTCTATGGGCTCTGTGCGCGCTGCTGTGGAACACCGGTCGAGACGGTGAAAATTCGAGAAAACACAACACACAAATCCTGAACAACCAAATTTATATATGTTACACAAGTAGGGCTAATCTTGTTACATTATTCAGCGGAGTCTCAACAACCATCCTAAAGTATCGTTTTCTGCTAGTTTTTGGCCTTTGTTTTCACCGCGATGGATGCCAGGTGGTGAAAAATGCCCGGATGTCCGCCTGACGATACTGTGAACAAGAATGAGTCTTAAAAATCCTACATTATAATTTTTGGCATTCAGTGTTTAAAGGGCAGTGGTCGTCATATCACGCATGTGTGAGATATGGGTCTCATACAAACAAAGACTTTAACTGTTTTTCAGACGAGTACACACTGAGACGTTACTAAGCTTTAACTATGTCATTTGTTTGGTGATTGAAAGGTATAGAAAAAGTCACCAGTGGTAATTAGTGCATGTTTGTAACTTGTACTCGTGATGTGATATCCATTAGAAGAGTGCATTGCATTGTGGAAAAATCCATGTTTATCAACACAAATGTTACACATATGTGGCAAATATGACCACCACCCTTTAACACTTTATGAAATTAATCAGAGTGCAGTGTTTGTTATTAAATTATTTCACCACTGCACAGTGCCCTTTGCTGATAAATTGTTTCAAAACAAAAAAATTACGTCTTGAAATCAATTTGACCATTTTTTTTGTTTTGTGAGGTCTTATATGCAGGACTACTAACAATTCTTGTGATAAAATCGTGAAAAAAAAATATCACATATGAAATGAATATATATACCATTACTCTCAACATGAACACATAATAAAGATCTCTGTGTGCGAGTTTAATTTGAATATAGGATCATGGTATAACAAAATGCGCAAGGAATGATTGTGTCAACCACTTCTAGAACAGAAAACTTACCTATGAACCAATGGTAGTGGCAAGAAATGCATCAATGATGACATGTCTATTGCACAGTCAAACATAATCGTGCAGTCTTTGAACGTTAACACCAGGCATGGTGCATTGGGATGGGCAGACAGGGAATACTGCAATCAATCAATACAAACAGGAAGTGAGTATACGCTAGATTGAAACTGAACCAATAACTAATGCCACTGTAGCTCCATAACAACATACTAGTATTGTAAATTACTTTCACTTAGAATTTATTTTTACTATTTTTGCTGAAAGAATGATTCAGTGAAAATAAAATCCAGCGAAAAAAATCAGTGAAAATAAACTTCATACAGCTAAAATTAATTCTAACTAAATAAAATAAAGTAGTGCGACATAGACAAATCAGTCATGCACGGTAACTGTGAGCAGTGCTATCTGACAACAAGGGTCCAATAAAAACTAGTAACTCCATACTAGTTATTATTTATGACTGAATTACATCGGGAACTGTATACAGTAAAACTAAGGCGAGAATGACTGCTGTCCGTCACTCAATAGTATGACAGGCGGTGATTCTTTTTACTTATTTGTCTTGTTCTTGATCATATTTAGTTGTAAGCCGCACTATCTCGGGGCCAGTATTAGTGTGAAATGAAAACGACGACCGGCAACCATAGGGGATATTAACCACAGTTACGATGATAATGCAGATGATATAGAACTTACCAACTTCATGGTAACCTGTCCAAGTACAGCGATGACGTCTATTTAGTTTATAAAGCAGTACTGAACTGAAAGAAAGACATTTACAGCGCACAGCGTCACCGGAACGACAGCGTTGTTTTCATTCTGCTTTTCTTTACTTCCCACCTTTGACCTTGTAACCCGAGTTGGATTCCGAATGGGATAATGCGAGATTCGGTAGATTCCCATTCTATGCACGCTGATTGAACGTGTTGCCTTTAAAATATGCAGATATACTGTGTGTGCACTGTGCTCAGTGTTGACATTTTCGCATATTGCATCTGATATAGTACGGGGTAAAAACAAATTGTTTTACTCCCACCAGGGAGCTGTCTCATTACAGCTCCCTGCTCCCACCGAGTATCCATACAAACCTCCGAATAAACAACACAATTTTTATTTCGCCTATAGGGGGCGTTGTTATGCGGGACTTCAAACAGTTTACCAGTGTCTAAAAAGGAGATACATGTATACAAAAATAAATACCCGCACAGCAAACAATATTGTGTGTATGTGTTTTGTTGTTGGTGGTGACCGCATTTCCAAATGTTTGGTTGTTTTTGCATGAATAGCTGGAGGCCTAGTGTGATCGCACGACAACAATATTATTTGTATTACCACGTGTGAAACTATACTTTTTTTAAAAAGTGTAAACACTTGATTTAAAAAACAGAAAAGGAAGTCCATTTTTTCTCATTGTAATTTTATTTGCGAAATGGACAGGA